CTGGATAGTGATTCATCATTTATCCGATGATTGGTGTTATCCACCTTTTGAACAAGCCAGGCCTGGGCATTTTAATCAAAAGTATAGGCACTCTTAAACGGTATAACATGCAATGCAAAAATATTTACTTGCATTTTTCTTCTTAGTCTAGAATAAACAATTTGTAGGTTTTTCTGATACATTTTGAACTTTGTAAACCCAAATAAACCTGTAGTCAATTCTTTGCAGTCAATAGTTTATTGTTTTCCCTTTTTCTTAGCTTGGGTGTGATGGTACATCTTTCAAGGTCTTCTCTGGGAACGTCAACATAATCACAACAATGATCTTTATTTTCCTTCATTTTAGAACTACATGTTATTTGGCCCGCGGATAGCAAGTGCTAATCTAGGCAGGCCGTTAACTGCCTATGCATAGAACTAGATTAATTAAATAACAATAAAAACAATTTAAGCAACCTAAAATGCATTATGCACAGTCTTGTCTCTCTGCCAATGTTTCTGTGCATTTATTTTGTACAGAAATGGGGAAAGGTAAATACATCATGGAAAGAGAAAAGCTTTCACCTTTCCCTTTTTCTCCTCTAAGCTGACAAACCCCTTTACTTTATTCTACAATGTTCTCCTCTTGATTAATCTCCTCTTGATTAATCTTTGTAGGAGGCTACTAAAATGTAAGATTCAAGCAAAAAATTTAAATTGGTTAGAACACCCTCTGAGAAAGTTCATGCTAAATGCCATACTACTAACTCAATGAAAATGCAGAACAAGCATGAGCTGAGAATTTACATTTTGATAATTAAAATAAATGAGTGAGTTGCCCTGGACTTGTGTTTTCATCAAGTTCTAGAAACACTAAGCCTGGAAGAGCTCAAAAAAGATGTGCAGACACTTGTCTTTGGCTTGTGTGTCCAAACTTCCAATAGTGTTTTGTATACACTTGATAGAAACATGGAAATTGGTTAAGTTATCACCCAATTGCAATTATCACCCAGTTGATGTGCACTTTAGCTTTCCCCTATATTCCCTTTGCTATGTTCTGCAAAAAGGAGAGAACTAGACAAATGCGGCACTTCAGGGTCCGAAATTTAGTCAACCAGTACTGACCATCAAATCACAGAGTGTGATTGCTCATTAGATGACCACAATTCAAGCTGCCAACCTCTTGATATATGAACAGTTGTTAAAAGACCCTAAAACTTATAATCTTTGGTCAAGATTTCTGCTTGGGAAATGCCGTTGTACACAATGTACATGTTGATGATGACAATGATGATGATGGCAATAAAGTGAAATACTTAAAAATAATTTTACATTGATGGACAATAAACACAATCATTGTATGTCAATCTCGTTTTATTCAGCTCTACAATTGAATACTGTACTATAATTGTGTTAACTGCAGTGCAGCCATAAGCATTTTCTAATAGTTATACTGCATAATCACTTCTACTCTTTGGTGACTAGATTTCAACTTGGACATCTAGGTCTGAAAACATGGTTGTCGAATGGGCAACCTACTTCACAAGTTAATTTTGGACCTTGCACTTTTAATAGCACCGTTTCCAGTTGAACGCAGTGAAATCCACACTTTCTTTCATAACAAATTGGCAGCAAATATCGGGGTATCAGTAGTTCCTGTCTTCATATCCAATAAATTTTAATAAGGGCAATAAAAACCAGCAACTTAAGATACAAATGATGGATTGAACATCTATGCAAATCTGTTTTAATTATAATATTCCTTATCCACCGTAATACTGTTAAATTATTTACTTTATTGTCTAAAAGAACAATAATTATTATTTTATCTTGGTCTTTGCTGGTGCTACAATTCCTTGTGCTTCATTATGCAAAAAACATGCATGTCTTAAAATACAGATTAATGTAAGTAATAATTTTATCAAATAAATAAAATTTTATAAATTATGCTCAAATTGTATACTCATGTAGCATGCTGAACACCTTCAAGTGTAACCCTCATCTCTGGAGAGAGGTGGGAAGCGTGATGAAACAACCTTGTCCAGGTTTTACTTCAGAAGTTTCTTAATTTTTATCAAATCATGCAACATCTGTTGCTTCGTGAATTATTACTGTTACTTTAAAACCTTGCCCTTTGAAAGCCCCATCCTTGTCAAACTTTCCTTAGTTTTAATTTTTCTGGAATCCCACATTTAAGTACAATCATGTACCCAGGTTTTGTGACCTAATTTTACTCCTAATGAAAGTGCCCTTTCTATTTCTTTTTCTTCTTTTTTAACCTATCTTTCTCTTTCTTCAGTTCAGCCAGCTCTTTCAAGTGTTCTATTTCATCTTCCAGCTTTGCAATCTTGGCACTAGAAAAAAAAAGAAGAAAAAGGAAAATTGTTTCATGCTTCCAGTCCATGCAAACTAAATTATTATCATCAGACTGTTAACAATATCTGGGATTGTAACCTGAATATTTTGAAATGTCTCTTGATTAAGGTGGCTCAAGACAGTTTTCAGAACTTTTTGACGGGTCATTACAACCACACTTTACTAGGTATGCGCAACCCCAAAGAGTATGGGTTTTTAGCTGTTTTGGTCAGAAATAATATCTAGTCATAATATAGTCTTAGTTACAGTGGTGCAACCCTCTGGAACAGTCTTAGAAAGGCTAACTTGCTTAAAAAATTAACGCACTTATTCAATCTCGGATTTATGAAATAGACTGGTGGGATTCATGGAAAACAGGTTGTTATCAACACATAATTTTTAACTATATAGTATAGTAAATGAATTTGTAGTGATATATTTGTAAACCCTGATGAATTTTTACCGTGTCCAAAGAATGATTAAAGAAATAGGGTATTGATTTTGGCCAATTCTGCCACAAATAAGATATGGTTTTTGCACTCTAGTCTTGCAATTGAATTATGTATGTTTTTTAGGAGAAGTAAATCTTCATCACGACACTATTGATAAGACATCATCAAAAGCCCTTCACAGTGCCTTTAACATCAGTCTTTGATTTAAGGATCAATTATTGGTTAGGTCATAAATAGGGTAGATGTTTTGGTCTTAAATAGGGTAACGGTTTTGGACAAGGCTGCAGAACAAGTAGCTTCAGCTAAATCCCTTTGAGTCTATATTGACCAAACTTTAAACTGGGAATGCCATATTGAAAAGTGCTTATAATTTAAAAAAGGCTTTTTTATTATCAAATTTTGATTAGCAGGATAGCCTCCTTAAATTTTCTAACCTCTTTTGCTCTTCTCTCTCTATCTGGCGATAACTAGTCTCCATGTAAGACAGATCATCCTCAGCATCATTGAATCTGTCAGAAGGAAATAGCAATAATTTGATAAATTATTATTCTAACAAAATTATTGTTTACATTCTTTTCATTTTTCTTGAGACCAAATACAAAAGAGAAAATTAAGCAACATCAGACAAGGATTTAAAGCAGTTCAAAGTTGTTAGCCAAACTTTGTAAACATTCGTAGTGCTGGTATAGAATCTCCGAAGGTCACCACACACCAGCACCTGCAACTTAGACATCTTGTTACACGGTGAGAAATGTTATAATGCTGGTGATTTGTTAAAACACGTATGTAGTCTTATTATATAGCTTGCGTTTGCCGCCAATATAATGCGCCCTCTGATTGGCTAATTCTAGGGCATGGGCTGATTACAGGCCTGCATGAACAAAGCAACAAGCCATCTAATAAACCACTTAAATATTTACCTCAATTGTTCAGTCTTCACGGGAAATCTCAAACCTCGGCCTTGCCATATTGACCTTGCTATCTCTTGGTCAATATGGCAAGGTCTCAGTTTGAAATTTTCCCATTAAGACCTCACTCTGGGTTAATAAGTAGTTATTATTATGAGTTATGCTGGCGTATACATTTTTGAAGAAAAGGGATACAAACCTTGTCTTGTCATAGCCAAAAATTTCCCGTATATACTTTGAGACATCAGGAACATCCTCTCCCTCTCCGTCGTCAATGAAGTCATCCATTTCATCCTTGTAAGGGTTTCGTTTTCTCTTCAGTTTCACCCTGTCTCTTGATTGGCCAAGATGAGCTGCTTTCACTGGCCTTCTTTCAATAGCAGGATTATTGTACTTAGGGTTACCTAATTTTCTGTCACTTGATATGGCTCCCATTGAAGTTTTTGTTTTCATTTCTAAAGGTTTTTCTCTGCTTCCATTCACTAATCCTGGTGATCTCTTGAAATCGTTTTTCATACTGGAATCTTTTCCTGAAGATAATGATTTTCCATTTGGAACTGATTTTGACAGCCTCTTAGAATCTGTACTTACAGCTGTTTTTTTGTGCTTTCCAGTCTTATCTTGCATGACAATTTTTTCTTCCAAGCTTCTCTTTTTAATGTTGCTGCTTTCCCCATTGCCTCCACTATTCTTTGAACTGTTGCCCTGTTCTACCACAGACTGCAATTTAGTACCACCAAGCTTATTCCTTTCTGCAGCAGCCAGTAATTCTTTAAAGTTAAGAGGTGCACCCTTCTTTCCATTAACT